TTGCATTTATTGTAATGAAACTTGTGGATATTTGATTATCCTTGCGTATCAGCCAATATTTTGTAACTGCACCAATCAGTTTCTTGCTAGTCTCCTCTGCTTTTTCATTCAGTCCAAAACACAATTCTTCTCTCTTTCTAGAAAATCAAAAAGTTATTGGTGAGCTTTAGCTCACATAGTACCACCCATGATCTTTAAGATCATACGGATGCTTTTGGGTGGGGGCACTTGGGGGTTTTGATTCCCCACTTGCAATTTTTTCATTCCTGTGTAGATCCCAGAAGAGGTTTTCCCAGCAACACCAAAAAATAAAAATAAAAACAATTAAATAAAATAAGAAACTGAAATGTTCTGGAACGGCTTAAGAGTGACAGAAATTAGTATGTTGAGGGAAAATATAAGGTGAGGGATTAATGGTATGAGTAAAAAGAGGAGGAAACACTCCTGAACTTTTTGGTTTTTTAAATCAGAAAAGTAGAACATTTTTGTCTGAATGAGAAGCGAGAGCTACCTCCACCAATGGAGGAGGCGGCTAGAAATCCCCATATATATTTGTTTTCATTATCATGTATTCATTTTCTTAATCCATGATAATTTATAATGATTGATTTCTTCTACTTTTAGTTGCCTGGTCGTACAGATAATGAAATAAAGAACTACTGGAACACCCGGGTCAAGAGGCGTCAACGGGCTGGCTTGCCACTTTATCCTCCTGAAGTGTGTTTGCGAGCATTGCAGGAGAGTCAGCATGGCCAAGGTACTGGTGGAATCAATGATGGTAATAGAGGGCATCATGATTTCTTGCAGAAAAACAACTATGAAATACATGATGCAGTATTTGACAGTTTGAAGGAAAATCAGGGAATCTTATCTTATGTGCCTGAGCTTCCTGATATTTCTGCTAATAGCATTCTGCTAAATGGTCTTGGTTCTCCTTCATATTGTAATTTTGTGCCATCAACATTACCTATCCATAATCATCTTCAAGAGTCAACAATGTCTTTTGTTGGTTCTGGTGGAACAAACAAGAATGGGTTTTATCTGTTTGACCATATTCAGGATAATATTTGGGATAAGATTGCACAACCATTTGGGTTGCATTCTCCCCTTGATCCTTGTCCCTCCTCACATAGCTCAATTAGTTACTGCCATTCACAATCAAATGGCAATTCCTCTGCTTCTAAGCCGACTTCTGAGGCTGTCAAGTTGGAGCTCCCTTCATTCCAATATCCAGAAACCGATTTTGGTAGCTGGGGTACATCTCCCCCACCTCCATTGAATGAATCTGTTGATGTTTTCATTCAGTCTCCTCCACCACCTAGTGCACTAGAGTCGGATTGTTCTTCACCACATAATAGTGGCTTGCTTGATGCTTTACTCTATCAGGCAAAGACTCTTACTTGTTCAAAGAACAATTGTTCTGATAAGAGTTCAAATTCATCTACTGCAACTCCTGGGGATAGAGCTGTGAGTTCTGCATTGAACATGTACGAGACAGAATGGGAGGATTATGCTGACCCTGTATCTCCCTTTGGTGCAACTTCAATCCTGAATAAGTGTCCTGCTGTTGGTGCCAATGGGAACTCATGGGATGAATGGGCACCTGCTTGGACCTTCAGTGGTTAGTACCTTTTTGTGCAGTTTGATGAAGGATGATAGTTGAAAACACATTCACTAATTATTGCACAGTTCCACATACATCTTTGGCACCATGCAAAACTTCTTAATTATGTTTTAAGATTACTTGTTTTACCACATGGTTTATTGTTTCATTTGCCAAATATATTCTTGAAATCTCAATTTCAAGATAATTGATGAAAACTCATTTTAACTTATCAGAGATTCATACTGTCATGCACATTCTGGATCTTAAAAATATTGACTCATCCTTAATAAATTAAGAATGGTAACAAATTTTCTTTTCTATGGTACTGTGTGTCTCACGATAAATTCATTTATTGTTTTTGATGAAAGTAAATGTGGTAGATTTTCCCCTTAGTTCCTGTGTTAAATTTGTCAGCTGCAACAGATCTGCTGTGATTCCTTGCAAAAGTTGAGATTTTTTTAGAAATTTCTGCAGGCAACAATGTGAAACTAGAGCCTGATGACCAGGATTGGACCCCTAATAGTGAAAATCAAACCATGTCTGTGTTGAATATCACTTGGCCAGATGTCTTGTTAGCTTCAGATTGGGATGAGCTAAGCTGTGGGCATGGCAAGAACCAAGCCATCATGACTGATGCTAGTGATGATTTTGCGCACTATAAGCATATGGCTGGTGGAACTCATTCTTAAAGAACAGGCTTTGTTCTTGCGCTTGGAATAACATTCCTCGTGTCTCTCGAATTTCTGATCTTCGTTGAGAAAGTGCTGAAATGTTTATGTTTTTGAACTTTTTACTATACATTCATGTTGATTTTTTAACATGGGCAATCAGGTATTAGTATCTCCTTTTCTGAGAGTCTTATATGGGTATGACTTCTGTTATCAAATGCATGGGTCAGAGACTCGTGCCTTTCTCATGTAGCTTTATAAATTCTCTCTTTCTGTGTTGAATTTATTGGAACGATCATGAAACTCTTAGGATGCCAATGCTTTTGCACTTTTTTGAATAATTTGTAGAAGAACATTGCACCAGAAACTTTGGACAGCAAGCAGCTGAATGGAGTAACAATATCTTGCGCTTCTTTGTTAATGTTTGTAGATTGTACTCATATTTTGTCATTGATTGTATTATCTGTCTAGCCTGTTTAAGATAATGAAGATCTTCATGTGTCTTTTAAGTTTAATTTACCCAGTATGTATTCTGGATAATTTTTTTTCTTAGAACAGACAAGAAATTATGGCAGTCGCTTAATCTCATTTCTTTTTGCAACTTTTAGAATGCTTGTGTTTACATAATATTAAATCAACAAGAGGTAAAAGGATCGAGCTGTTAACTTCCAGATGTGAAACTAAGAATATTAACCATGTTTAAAGGAAGATTTGGTAACAAATTAACATGATAATCTAATTAATCTCATTTTTTTAGAAATGGTGCATAAATGTCATTATAACATATTAAACATATTTGACATAAATTAACCAAAATATTGATTGCTTGCTAATATTGTTGGCTGGTGTCGAGTTTGATCCTTTGACATCAAACTCGAACCATGGGTATGTTTATGTGGTGTCGAGTTTGATCCTTTGACATCAAACTCGAACCATGGGTATGTTTATGTTGTTAAATGTTATGAAACACCTACATTTTAAAAATTCTGACGTGTCGTGTTCGACATTTTTTGACACTCTCTGACACTTCGACACTCTAACACGCATTATAGAAATTTAAAAAAAATTCAAAGGTTGTGCTGTGTTGAGTTTTTGGTTTCAATTATTAGATTTGTTGGATTATGATTACCATTTTATTGAGTTTAATATAAATATTTGAAAATATTATATTTCTTTGCAAAATTGATGAATATTATAAGTTTATTTTTATTTTTTTGTTAAATTATTGAATATTAAATATAATATACACTACATAAATTAAAAATATTATTTAATATCAAAACGTTTCTTAACATGTCAAATTTTTTTTTTTTTTTAGAATTAACGTGTCGGAGTGTCGTATATCGGGTCACGTGTCCCGTGTCGGTATCGATGCTACATAGGTTAAATGGGTATGGAGCTGAAATTCAAGCTTTCTCTGCTGTTTTAAAAGCCAAAAGGATCAGTTCATCTAATAGAATTGAACACGCCCTTAAAAATCTTAGATTTGATTTCTGTGATTTTTTATTGGAAGGGTAAGTGTCTCGGTATGCTTTCGTTCAAATTCGTTACATACCTTGACTTTAGAATCGAGCAATCACTCTTTCTCTTAATTATTTTAGTGCATAGGAGTCAACGGCCTCATATTACACCAACAATATGGAAAACCTTGCAATTGAAACTCCGATGTGCTAAACTGATAGAAGAGGTGAACCTTCTTCGTTCTTTTTGAGGGGTAAACAATAGGGTCATCAAGATTTAATAGTGTATCTCCTTACGCTTAATTTTAACCTTCTTGAAATTGAAAATTTTGGTGTTTAGGACAAGAATTGGATATACTTTTATTTGGTTATTTTTAAATTAAAAATGCTTGTAATAAAAATGCAAGAGAGATTTTGAGTGAAAAGTTGTGTTTGAATGCAAAATTATTTAATCTAAACATAACCAAGATTAATGCATAGTTTAGCTTTCGAAGGAAAATTATCAGTTTATAATCAGTCCAGTTAACACTATTCTTTCTATTTTCATATGCTCATGGATAAAGATTAATTGATCCCATTGTTGATCTAATTTGATCATACTAATGTTACATATATAATGGTAAGTTTGTCACACATACTCTACTATGGATGAATTAATGTTACATATACATAACATTTATATATGAACAAGTTCTGCATAAGAATAAAGAACTATACAGTGCATGGTCTGGATAGCAGCAGAACAAAGACAGGCAAACAAAACTAATTTTGATTAAAGATTCTCTCCATTCTGTAACAATTTATGTTTGATTCAAGATCACAAGGATAATCTCTGAGTTTATCTATCTACCGATGTGTTTATGGTTGGCTGCTACCATTAGCTTTTTGTCTAATATTTTGAAGCTTTCTTTTATCATTGACAAGGGCATTTCTATTTGAACCTGTTAATAGAACCCTTCATGTTTCAGAAGCTTGTGTTGTAACTTTTAAGTTAGGGATAATAAACGTAGCAGACACTACCTTTGAAAGCCAAGTCAATATATGGTGCATGTAGTTAAATTTGGGGTATAATGCGTGGAACTTGGTATTGGGAGCCAAGTCACACTTTTGGTTACGCTAGCTTGAGAAAATCTGAGTACAAACTACTTTAAATGATGATGGCCATGAGAAACTATAGGATATTAAACTCTTCTAAGGCATTATAATATGGGAGTTTGAAGCTTCAAGCTGTGAGATCCACAATCCATTTCATTTTGCATTCTCTTTTTATTTTGCTTTGTTGGAACTACCAATATTACCACTTCCACCTTCGGATTCTGAAGAGCCCTTTACAATGCAGCAACTGCAACCTTCGGCTATTTGACTTAAGGCTTTGGTCACCTATAATAATATACGAAATAAAATTAGAAAAAGATATTTGGTCTTTATTATGGGGAAAATATGTAGTGTAATTAACAAGTTAAGAAGAAACTCAAAATCATGCTATATGTTGCAGATAAATTGTTTTAAGTGAGTTAGTTAGTGAGGGAATTTTTTTAGAATAATATTAGAGGAGGAAATAAAAGGAGAGTGTGTGTAGTGAGGTAGGCATGTATTGAGTGAAAAGTGAAAAATTTGGGGATCTTTTGGAGATTAGGGTAGTTGGTTGTAGGGGGTAGTTGAGGTCTTTTGGATTTATTTTCTGTCATTAATGTTTGTAAGGAATTTGTCTTCATTTATGCTTTTCATCAATTTACAGTGAATAAAATTGGGTTCCTTAAGTCATGCTACATATTTTTTTAACCACAGTCTAACTGGCTTGAGATGGAAGCCTTGGGGCAGAGGTAAGATAGCTCCTTGTGATCGAGAGGTTACGAGTTCAAATATGAAAAATAGCCTATTTGCAGAAATGTTATGGTAAAGCTGTATATAATCGACCCTTAATCCTACCTTCGTAAGTGGAGAAGCCTTATATACCGGGATTTGCCTTTTTTTACAGTGTATCTGGCTTAAGTAAATTGAGGAGTAGACTAAACTATATGACTCAAAATGGCTATCCTAGCCATATATTTAATATCACACTTTTCTACTAATGTGGGCTTGAATGTCATAAAGTTCTAAAAGAAAGTCCTGCAGTTGCATTTTTATAATATGGAAGTGGAAGATAAAGATGGCATGAGTTGGGTATTATTTGTACGTAAAAAACAGCAGAATATTAGAACTTTTGATGACAATGTTTAATATTATGTATAGCATAAAGAAATAGCAATTGTAGACTAACTGTAGTCATATCCAATCGCTTGTGAGGATCATTCTTAAGACAATTTCCAGCTAGACGAATCATCCAAAAGAGTTGATGACAGTCATGGGAGTTCATCAACCTTCCATCAATAAGTGCATGACAGTTCCCTTTTTTCATTAGTGGTCTAGCCTGCACAAAAATCACCAACTAAAACTCCTAGGAACCTTGAATGAAATAAGGAACTGAGAGAAGAAATTCAGACCCCCTACAATAGGCAGCTTCAAAAAAATTTGCAGTTTTAATTTTTTAGAAGAATTTTTAGAATACATCAACATCATCAACATCAACATTACATTTATGGTAGATTAGTTGGAGTCGGTAGTCGATGAATCCAAATAAAAATAAGCAAAAATTTAGGGAAAAGAAAACTAAATAATAGAGAATAATTAAATAGATAAATATAAAAAAAAAGACCACTGTTTGTAACAAAGGAAATATCGAGTTTATTCCTCCACATGCTAATGGCTATCCTCCATTCCATCCTAAGACAAATTATATGTAAATTTATTTCTCATTTCATTAAGTATTGCTTTACTAATGTCTCTTAAATAAGGGAGGAATGTTGTTTTAGGTGCAGTGAGTCGGTCGTAAAAACAACTATTTCTATGAGATGAACCCATATGAAGTTTTAAAATACATGTTCTAATAATCTTTATTTGCAACTATCCTCCAAAGTACATGACAACTGCTGCTTAAAGTGATCAAGAGAATAAGAGAAATGCAATGACAATTGACAGGTAGGGTATGTATGTACTACTAAATTCTACTATAAAGAAAGAAGAAATGGAACTTAGTTGTATGCATCAACTTTATTGTATTCAGATTCTTACCCATCCAGATAGATCTTTTCCTCCAAGTCTTTTGTCTGTGGCACTCATTCCACTTATTAGCTGTAGTAGAACCAATCCAAAAGAATACACATCTGTCTTACATGACACTTTACCAAATTCTGCATATTCTGGTGCAAAATATGCCAGATTTCCAACACAGTCTGTTAAGTATGAGGAATCTTCAGCTACAATTCTAGCCAAACCAAAATCACCCAGCTGAAAAAAACATAAAATGACTTTGTTATTTGAACTTGATGAGGTAAAAACCTTGTGGTTGTGGAACCAAATCACAATTATAAGAACTTGTGAAATAATCATCCACCACTAATATGTTGTAGCAAATATATATATATATATATATGAGTTTAGTGTTTCTAATAATCCATGGCAAATGAAATCCTAGATGGTAGAGACTTCCATTCTACAAAAGCAGCAGAAGCATTGTTAAATAAATGAAGGGTTTTATATTTCTCATTCAACATGAGAATTGAATTCTCATGTTGTAGAGACAAAAAGTATGTGGGATCCGTATGTTAGAAAAAATTATGTGTAGGATCCATGTTGGCACGGAAATCGAAGTGTGTGTAGGAAAATTCAAATTCTCATGTTAAATGAGAATTATAAAACCCATAAATGAATTAGTTCTCCATGATTTTTTTATCCTAAAATACTGATTGTGCACATTATTACCAATACTTCATAATCATGTGTAAGAAGAATGTTGCTTGGTGTCATATCTCTATGTATGATGTTGTTCTCATGGAGGTACAGCAATCCTTTTGCAGTTCCATTGGCTACTTTCACCCTGTCTTGCCAGCTAATAGGTTTACGAGAATGTTCTGCATTGTAGTAACCACAGTTAATATCTCTTTAATATCTTAACAGGAGATGCATGGGCAAAACCCCCCACACAAGGCTCCCCGACATGCGAGGGCGTGGGTGAGGGTTGATTATACGCAGTTTTCTTATCCTTGCATTTTTACAAAGAGACTGTTTCTCAGACGCGAATCCTTGACCTCCAAGTCACAAAGAGCAATTTTACCACTGCTTGAAGGCATGCCATCCATCTTAACAAATAACAAGAGATGCATGCATTCATAATTTTAGGAAATAGATCATCTCAAATTTCTTTTTAACATGACAACATCACGGGAAAAATCTTAGATATTCATTGATTGATCAATGGTCAGAAAATCAAAATTACCATTTTCTTTTCTCCATATTATGAGTTTTGTCAATAATTTTGTGACCATATATCTGTTAATGAATGATTAAGATTTTTCGCATGACGTGGTAATAAAAAAAAAAAATAGACGTGATCATAATAAAAAAACCTAGATAGAGGATGCTTTCCCATAATTTTAGTAGTATGAACTAACTAAGTTTGGTTTTATTTTGATTATACGTGATAAATGTTGGTCCAGTGAACCATTGCAGACATATTCATAAACAAGAAGCCTATGGTTTCCTTCTGAACACGATCCAAGAAGCATGACCACATTCTTGTGTTTTGCTTTGCTGAGTGCATCAACTTCAGACTTGAATTCCTTCTCTCCTTTGTGGCTTTCATACACATGTTGTTTAACAGCAATCTTCAGTCCATGCAACTCCCCTTTGTAGACAGAACCAAACCCACCTTCTGACAGAAAGTTCTTTAGGGAAAAACCCTGTGTGGCTGCATACAGCTCAGCATATGTGAACTCTCTCTTCCATTCAAATTTTGGTCTCCTGTTCTTGCAAACAGTGCAAACAGAACTCTCAAATTGTTCAACCAAATGATGTGCTTCACGGTTGTTGGTGTGTTGTTTTTCTTGTTTGACTGGTGTGCATGGATGAGTCATTTTTGTTTGACCAGTCTATTGAAACACAAGGAAAGTGAATTCACAAGGGCTTGTTTATATGTTATGTTCTCCATTTGAAGGGTTCTTTTCGCCTTGAAATTGGAGCCCAACAAGTTTGGCCTTTGGAGGGACTATGCTGTGGCACTAGGATTCCAAGGGTTGCTTAGTAGAAGAGGACGTAGGGATCTAGACAAGGGACTTGTATATGAAGCATAGTTGATGAATAATTGGGTATCTAGATTCTTTTCCATCCAATATTCAATGTACCTTGATGCTCTCAAAATTGTTTATAATGTTGTTGGCTAGACTAATTATGGGAAAGAATATTCGAGACGGAATGGATACTCCCATGTCATATAATTTGACCTCGTGAGATAATATCAGACATTCCGAGACAAATTAAGTAATTAACCATGATGTTTTAGTTTTATGTTGTTTCTTGCTCATCTCATCAGTACCGTTTATTTATTTATTTATTTGAGATCGTCTCGTATGACATAGAGAAGATCTATTTTCATGCCATTTGGTTTTGTTTTTCAAAAATTAGGATATCCTCGTATTAGATTTAGGGGGTGGGGGAATCATGTAATTAGTTCTTATAAATTAAAGTATCATTAATTTTCAAAAAGTGATGATATGATCATATGAAAGAATGAGTAAGTTGGATAAAAAAAAAAAAAAAAGTTAATAATGGGAGACCTGAATATGTCAGGTGGGTTCAGAGAAAGCCAATAACGGAAGGACCATCACTAATGGATTAAACTAGATCAACAATACTAAGTGGATTCAATGTCATATCACAACTCAAAATTTTAAGGTATTTGGATTCATAGATCCTCCCACTTATATACATTTGACTTAACCTATTTTCAACTAATGTGAGATTCATCATAGTTAAATATCCTAACCTAACAGAATACTGTAAATGGAATTATAAGTAAAAATTCCAATACCAATATTGTATCTAAAAAAAAAAATGAATTTAATGTTAATTTTGTATGTTAGAGGGATAATTTTATAATTGTTTTAAAAAAATTAATATAACACTTTAATCTTTAAAAAAACAGCTTAGTAATAATTTTTTAAGAAAATTAATTTGAGAACAGAACTAAATTAAAAATTTAATTCAATTGTTAAAATAACAAGGGAGAAGACAGGCACAACATCCAAGGCCCGAGGGAGTCTTGGTGATATCTATTTGGATTAAAATATTTATTTGTAAAGGGTTAATTCGTTTAAGCAACAATGTTGAAGACATTGATTGACAACATCAAGATAAGCTTGGGATATAATTAGAATAACAATGTTGAGGTGATTTTCACATATAAGGTAAGATAGGTCATTCTTGGAAATCACAATTTGCAAGTTTTTCATATATTTTAATAACATTCAACAATGTTGAGGTAATTTGGCCATATTTTAGAAATTTTGTTTCGCACCTTTTTGGGATATAGTACCAGCAACTGTACTATTGTATTATCTTCATCATATGTGTCCAAATACCAATTTAAGAGTGATAACAACTTCCCTAAATGTAAATTGTACTGCAAGGCTCTCATTTAATAACGGTAAAGATGAAAATCGATTGTACGTAATCGCTTGCCCCCGCATCAACTTGACTAATATGTTTAGAAGTTGCATGCTTGAGTTGTTCACAATTTTATAGTAATCTAGCTATCCTATATATGTAGCAATCCTTCACAAGATATTTTCCTATAAAGAATGCATGTGGTTAATCCAAAAAGCTTAATTATTTGAGTAAGGATATTTTCCATGCTGATTACCTGGGTTTTTTTTTTTTTTTTTTTTTTCAATAACACAACAAAATGTTTAACATTAATATTATTTTCCTAATTAGCATGGCATTACTGAAAAGATAATTGGGTTGACTCAAAGATTTTGAGATAAATATCCATTGTTGATTTTTCATTTATAAATATTTTTTAAGTATTACTACGAATTCTCATTTAATATTATGATATATCTGATGTTGAAATGTTGGCTTACGCAATCTTTTCCTTTCAATAATTTTTTTTGGAAAAATATTTCTGCAGTTACTGCAAATAAGTTATCTGCATTTATTCCCAAAACGATGTCGTTTTGGTATTGAAATCTTAAAAAAATATAAATATAAAGACTATTATAACCCGAAAATAAATTAAAATTACAAAAACACCATGATTTCTGTCCCAAAATGACATCGTATTGATCTTACTATAATAACCCTCATTAGTAGTTGTGGATTTAATATTGAAGAACCGGTTTGTTAACATGTCATCGTATTAAGTCACACTTAATATAAAAATGCGGAATAATTTTTTCTGTTCAATTATGACGTCATTATACTTAGCTAAGTTGATTATTAAAATCCAATTACAAAATAACGCTTGTATGTATTTGCAATCCAACAACTAACAGAATACCTCGTAACATAGATGTGAGTATCTGATAGGCCCAAGCACAGGAGGTTAGCTGGAGCACCTTCCTGGGCCAAGGACTTCATCAGTAGTTAGTGGGCTGGAGTATCCTGTTGAGCCCAAGCTGTAGTTAGTTAGCTGGGGAGGGAAGTGGGACAGATTACGTGGCTTACATTTAGTTTGTTATTAGGTTGATGTGGCAATGATCCACTGATATAAAGGCAACTATTGCATGAAATAGAAATCATCAGAATATATGAAAATTACTCTTGTTTTCTTTTCCCTATTTCTTCCTTGTTCCTTCTTGTTCTTCGATTGATCCACAAGGTTAGGGTTCGCGTCCCTTTCATTGGTGCTTTCATCGATTCTCAAGCATTCCATAATGCGGGTTCAAGATTTGGCGGAGGAGGTTGGTGCTTTTCAGTTGCGCATCGATCGGAGTTTGGAGGAATTGCAAACTCGCTTCGAACAACGTTTCACTGAGCATCAGAATCAGTTTACTAGTTTCAATACTCAACTGCAACAAATACATGCAGTAATTGTGGGTAATAATCATGGTCACGGTGATACTGGTCATGTTAGTGGTGTGCATTCGTCCAATCATACAGAGACGATGGGTGTTCCACATAATCGTTTCGATCCAAACGATCCACGAGTGTTAATGAAGTCAATTCGTATGGAGCTTCCAGTTTTTAATGGTACAGATCCAAATAGTTGGATTTTTCGTACGGAGCTGTATTTTGGGTTACAACAGGTACCTGAAAATCTTAAGGTTCGATTGGCGGGAATGAAAATGGAGGGTTTGGCGGGACCCTGGTTCCAATGGTTGTTCAATGGAGGTTCTATTCAGTCTTGGGAGGAATTGAAATTGGCTGTGAAACACCGATTTGGAGGGACAGCATATCAGGATCTGAGGGGAGTACTCTCCAAGTTGACACAGGATGGTCCACTCAGCGATTATATCAGGAACTTTGAAGCCTTAATTAATCAGGTCACTGATTTTTCTGATGAGGTACTAATGTGTTTTTTTATTTCTGGTTTAATCCCTGATTTACGAAGGGCCATTCAACTCCACACTCCTACCTCACTCCATCAGGCCATGCAATTGGCTATCACATATGATGCACATTTTGTGGAGTTACGTTCTTCCTTCACATCATCCAATACCAAAAGAATTTTCGCTAAGAATTCTTATACGGTGGAACAATCCCAACCTCAACCTCTCACTACAATTGTTCAGCCTCCAAAACCAGTTGTTCCTTCTTTACCTTCTACTGTACCTTACCGGAAATTGTCTCATGAAGAGCTGCAGAAGAAGAGAGACATGGGAATTTGCTATACCTGTGATGAAAAGTGGAATTCTCGACACCGATGTAAGGGCAAATTGTTTTTGATGATTGGTGAATCTGAGGAGAAATCCTTGGATGGTGATGAACAGATTGTCTGGCAACCACCATTGTCTATTGAGGAGCCTCCATTAGTTCATGCGGCTGCTTTACATTCATTAGAAGGTGATAGCAATCCAAGAGCCATACAGTTCAAGGTGGAATTTAAGGGAAGGTCAGTGTCTATTCTTGTAGATTCCGGTAGTTCTCACAATTTTATTCAAAAAAATCTGGTGGATGTGGTTGGACTGTCCACTGTCAAGGTTCCCAAAATGAGAGTATTTCTGGGGAATGGAGAATTTCTGATTTGTGATAGGAAATGTTTGGGAGTACCATTGAACATTCAAGGATTCATTTTCTCAGTGGATTTATGGGTGATTGAATTAAACAGTTTGGGCATTATTCTTGGGATCACTTGGTTAAGTGAATTGGGAAGAGTATTACATGATTACGTTGATATGTCCATGGAATTCATGACCCAGACTGGCAGGGTCGTTTTACAAGGTGAAAAGTTTGACAAAGCAGTGGTCGATAATGATCATAGCTGTTTCCATTTGGATGGCAACCTGGTTCAGGATGAGGTACCCGAATTGTTGGAAATGAAATCCAAGGTTCCAGTAGCTATATGGGATCTGCTGTTACAGTTCAAGACAGTATTCCAGCTACCAACAGGGCTACCACCTCCTAGAAAGTATGATCATGCTATTCATTTAACTGAAGGAGCCAAACCAGTGAATGTCAAACCATATAGATATGCTCATCACCAAAAGGAGGAGATTGAAAAACAGGTTATTGATTTGTTGGCTTTGGGGTTTATTAAGGAAAGTAGGAGTCCATTTTCCTCACCTGTGTTATTGGTGAAGAAACATGATAATACTTGGAGGATGTGTATAGATTATAGGGCTCTAAATAGCATCACAATCAGAGACCGTTTTCTAATTCCCACCATTGATGAGTTATTAGATGAACTTAAGGGAGCAAGAATTTTTTCCAAGCTTGACTTGAGGAGTGGATACCATCAAATTCTTTTGGCACCTGAAGATTCTGCCAAAACTGCTTTCCGGACTCATGAGGGGCACTATGAGTTTTTAGTTATGCCATTTGGTTTGACTAATGCCCCTTCCACTTTCCAAGCTGCCATGAACAACATGTTCAAACCTTTCCTTCGAAAATTCATTATAGTTTTTTTTGATGATAT